GCAGGGCAAATGCTGTGCTTGTAAATCTTGAGCCAGATGAGCAGAATTTCACTTCAGCGAGGGCAAGTTATTATCCGCAACTAGGGATCATCACCTGCACAGGGTACACAGTGCCATTGTCCTCTAGCCTATATATCATTGGGTCTGACCAGCCGGATCTGACAAGAGATGAGCGAAGACTCGGGCATGAACATGTGTGTGTTTGTGCTAGTGTATGTGTGTGTGGTAAGATGGAGCAGGAGGGGAGTTGGGGAATCCAATCTCTCACACAGAGGAGCAGAGACAGGCGGGCAGATACGCTCCAGGCCCAGAATAACCCCAACAGTATCCATGAATGAAATGACAGGATTACAGGGGTATTAGAAAACCTGCTGAGATGGTTGATAATGCTGTTTATGGTTGGGCGTCACACCGCTTGCAGGGGAAAAGTCCAACTGTTTTACTAATGAAAATATGGACGAGCTCTTCACATAGTCACCAAGCAGAACATTCAAAGCCAGGGGTCTTCCTCTCCATTTACAGTAATGGTTTGACGATGGCAATTTGACGAACATTAACACAAATACTTAAAGATTTATGTCTGTGGTACTATTGTGGTTGAGCCTCTTAAAAAATGAGGACAGTAAACATAAGCCCCGCTATCCTGGTTAAGAATGGGATTATTGTTGTGTCAACAACCCCCATAGATAATAGTAATTACTGCCCTTGTTGCAGCGCCATCAGACTGCAACTTCGCTAGCTGACAGCTTGGTCCTAATTACCAAGAACCACCAATTACTGGCTCCATTTCATTATTTATATTGCTCAGCACACCCAAATAAAAGAGACTTCAGTGACTCTGAACAGTCACATCTCTGGCAGCTGCATAGGAGCATCCAGAGGACCTGCTGAATCATTGTGTCGTAGTTTCTTCTTGACAATATACTAGTTAGCATGCAAACACATCATTGTTAATGCAAAAGTAAGTAAAAACAGCAAAAATAGGAACATGAAGCCAGGGGCTGCCTATATACCCCTTTTGCCTGCCACAGGAAGTAATTTAGCTGCAAAGGAAGTGGGTTGTCATTTCTTCTTTTTTGACTTCCTCTTGCTCTTTATCTGCAAACAAGGCTACAGGATCAAATCTGAGCCCTAGAGCCTTCAACTACTAAAACAGTTAGCATGTTATATGTTATGCATTCATATTTCATCCCACGGTGGGATCTATGTTCGAATTGACTCGTCTGCTGCCAAGTAAAATATGTCTCCAAAAATAAATTAAAAAAACGAACATAAAAACACAATTCTTTATCTGGTGAGGGTATCCAACTATCCGCTAACACACACACCAACTTTCGCAGATGTTTCCCATCACCCTCTGCTGCCAGGCATCTTCCAGTGATGGCTGAGAGGAGGCGAGCGGGGGCTCCGGGTGGGGGTGTGAAATTCTGCTATTCCTGCTTCAGTGAAGTGTGCAGAATCTTGGCAGATCATTGTGGAGATTTGTATGTCTGTGGATTTGATACGAAACTGTTCGAGAGGCTCGTCTGGATTCTGTCTCTCAACGTTCCTCCCCTTAAAGTGGGTCTGGCTGTTTAGCTTATGTTCCCATAAAGCATGACGGCCACATTTCTCAGCCCTCACGGGTGCAGATGGGCAGTTAACTCAGCAGACAGGTCTTATACCATCATATGAAAGATAACCATTACAACGCTTTGTTGCTTCAAAAACGTTTGCCTCTGCGTAAAGAAAAGCCTACAATCCTCAAATAGGGGAACCAAAACAAAAAGCATATGTATCATCTATACAGATTTCTGCAATCATATACCTTGTTTATTAAAAAAAGACTCTTCTCTATTGGTGACTCAGTGCAAATTCAATGAATCACAAAACCTCTTCAAACGGCAGCTCATGCTCAGAAAGCTGTAAAGCACATAAAGCTATCACGTTCCAAAAGGACAAGCAGTCTCCAAAAAAGCGATTAAGTACGTACAAAAGGAATCTACCATCGCGATCCAAAGCGCTTAGCATTTAGATGACAGTTGCGCAGGGCAGGCCTTGTTTGCAGGGGCTGGAGTGGAGCAGTATATGTGGCCCGGAGGCCGGATCTGTTCCAACTGTGCCCTGGCAAGAAAATGTTCGGCCCAGTCAGCCTCGACAGCCTGGATATTCACAGGGGGCGATGGAAAACTGGAGGGCTGCAGTACCACGTGGAGTTGGGGGAGCTTGGAGTAGGAGGGGAAGGGGTGATGAGTCAGGAACAAGGTGTTATATATTATTTTGGTACCACAAGGACATGGCATTTGCTGTGTTTGATGAGCACAACCAAACCTGGGCTGGTGATGAGGGCCTGTGTTGGCCTGCGGTGATCAAGTTTATCAGCTGGCAGGTATGTCTGGTGGGAGCTAGCAGAATTTTTAACCACTTTTGCACATTCTGAAGGTGCTAGTTTATGCGGGCACTGCAATACCTGGCTTTGGTGATTATGAATTTTTAAAGCCTGAAATTGAATTTTACATACATCACCGCAGATAAATCTAAACAGAAGTGTTCTTCTATGGTTCATGAGAAAAAAATAATAAACACAGAATGGCCGGGAGGTTTTTTAATGTGTGCATTTTTTTCCATTATGACCTTACCATTGCAATGGGCTTTAGATTACATGACACATTATCATTTGACAAACCATTGTGATGATTTCAGAGTTTCCATAGATCACAGGCATTAAAGTTGGGATCATCACTTTGATTTAGTGTGACAAATGAATTATTCACTCTCATCTCTGGGGATGCATAGTTAAACTCTGACTCATTTTGAATATCATAGAAAGGACTTTTGATGTTGGACAGCTTTCTCCTCACTTGATTAACCTGAACCAACTTCAAAAGTGCTACAGTTAGGGTATTGCTATCAGCAAAATTCCAAACAAATGTGGAGCCTTGTTCAAAAACAATATTCTGTATAGGCTTCCTCTTTGAAATATTGTGTCAAAGGTATTACTATCCATTAAATGGTCTTGTTTACCTATTTTTTTTCTAAAACCATGAAAGAAACACATTTGAAAAAGTAAACTAAACAAGTATTTCATGCAAGAATAAGAGTGTGCAGCTCTATAGTTGACTTCACAGATTCATGTTGAAAGCATCTAAAAGTAACACAGCTAATAAAAAGGTCAGTGTCACACAAAGGAAAAGAAAACTATAGGTTCTCTCTCTCACCACTGCAAAGAAGGACAACTAAAACCAAGAGATTTGTTTGCTTTTGTGCATCCTAATTCATTCATCCCCAAGCACCTATTTGCTCCAGGGTTGTGCCAAGGCAAATCCTCATGGGAGAAATGATTGACACCTCCTAATCCTCATGGATACCAAAAAGCATGTCATTACCATGACATTTACACCATCTTCCACGGAGTCAGATGAAGCGTGGGAACAACAAAGGTATAACAACAGTGAACAAAACTCCAAAAATACGAAGTGTGAATTTTTAATGTGCTGTGTTTTGGGTCTAAAGTGAAACTAAGTACTCGAGGAAGAAAACCAACTCTCTGCCTAATTTCTATTCATTCAGCACAGCCAGAACAACCACCTGGGGTAGCCTACATTTCAAATGAGCCATATTTTGTTTATCTTTAACACCAGCGGGCAGGCTGGCAGGCATGCAGTACTGGAGGAAATGTGATCGAAAGTGGAGCACAAGAGTTATGACCTAAGCAAACAGCTGATTATGGAGAAGATGAGTGAGAAAAGGATTTGTCTGTCAAGCTAAGCCCTCCACAGATGGACGAGTGTAGCACACTAAGAAACCAGCAAGTCCTGAGGCTTTGTGGCAGCTTTTGGTTTTAAACTGTGCCACAAAAACAGTTTAGGAGGAAGTGATTAAAAGTGGGTGAACCCAAATACAGTATCATGTGCAATTACATATTACTATTCCTCACCTTTCATTCATCTCATTGACCGAGTGGATCATGGCAACTGTAGTCTTTCCACTCTTGCGTGATGTATGGACAGAAGAAGCGTTTACAGCTGCCTATATAAAACTATTATAGCGGCAGTTAATTGCTTGGGATCTTCATTTAATGAGCACCAGAGCAAATTTAATTACTTGCCATCTTTAATAAACAAGCGTAGGAACCTACTGGGGTGCGAATAAAGTTTTGACACAATACAACTTAGCTTAACTTGTAGGCCAAGACTTGACTTATAATTGGACCTTTGTTTCCTGACACACAAACAGTGTTGACTGGGCAGCAATGTTCCACTTCTATGAGCACAATAACAAAAAGTGTTTTCATTGGTGTATTGTGGCACTTGGGGGCTGACCCTTGCCTGTGAAACTCCCAGGTGAGATGGTCAACTATCTGCTGGGTAGCAAAGGTACTGCCTCCCTCCCTACTCTCTGCTCTGTACACCCTATCTGCTCAGTCCTTTCCCTAGAGCTCACTATCGCCCCGCTACCTCCACTCTTGTGCTGACAGCTAAACAATGGGAGCCAGGACTGCCTTAACGAGTAGAAAGTTGAGGCTCAACTAATTAGAGGCACCCCACCCCACCCCCACCCCTCCCATGCCATTGCTTCCAACCCCTCCTGTTAACTCAGAACAGTGTGATACAGCTTGGCCAGGGCTGGGACTATTGGGCCCATTGTGAAAGAAATAGGGGCTGGAAGTTGTTTTTCTTCTGGCTGCCGGCCAATGGGGGACCGTAGTAATTGCCCGAATCCCACTGTGGCAAGTGAAGAGAAAGAGTGTGAGGGTGGCACAAGCCAAGGAAAGTGAGAAAATGCTGGGACCAAGTGTGGGAATGAAAGTCTAGCAATTAAAAAAAAATACAGAGAAAGAATAGACAGATAGAGGCTTGCGGCACACAAGATAAATGTTTATAAGAAGAAACATGGAATGACATGTAGGACAAGTGATTCAGAAAAAAGTCAGAGCCTGTGGGCTCTTCGCTGTGTGAAAATAATACCAAAAGAAAGAAAACTGGACAAAGTACTGGGAGTGTAAGTGAAAATAAAATGACCTCGGGTGCTACTCACTAGGGAGAGGCAGACAGGGGTGCAGTGAGCGTCTTGGCTGTAGGAGTTGAACAGAGCAGGGTGCAGAGGCGGCTGCACAGTGGGCCCTCACTGGACACTTCAATCACAGGCAGCCAGAGCCCCGGGCAAACTTGGCCAATTAGCCGCACACTGTCGCTGACCCCCAGCTTCATTAAGGGCCCGGGCTCTGGATAAGGGGAAAGAGGAGGGAGGGAGCAGATGAGAGGATTAGAGAGAGCGAGAGCGAGAGAGAGAGAGAGAGAAAACCATCAGCACTGGTCAGGTTTGAGAAGACACACACATGCATTTGCACGGACACACGGGCTAGAGGTGAAGCTCAAGGTTACAGATAAACACAATCAACTGTGATAGCACCCTATACCACACATGTACACACTCGCCGTATTACACTCCCACCTCCCTGTGGGTTTACACCCGCAGCAAAGGTGGTGGTGAAGGGGTTAGAGCCATGGAGGCCAGAGGGCATAGCTGCCCCCTCTTTCCCACACCGCTGCACTGACAGCAACAGGTGTGGTGGCCAGTAGACATGCAATTACTAGGCTGAGAATCTGCTCTTTGTGACAGAGACAACGGCAGATCAGAGGGAAAATCGGAGCTAGAGGGGGAGAGGAGAGCAGCAAAGTGGGAGGCGAGGTGAGAGTTGGGGAGGAAGAGAGAAAGATACAGACTACCAAAACTCCCTGGAGGGGAGAAAGAGAGAGAGGCAGAGAGATTTCGGCTCTTTTCATTGCAAATCCCTCGTCGGCAGAGCGCAGGCGTGTAGAGTGTGAAAAAAAAGATAAAAAACCAACACATACAATAGCTATGACACACCTGTTGTACTGCAGTAGAAATACAAATTTACACGCTTTGGTGGTCTGCAGAGACCTCACATACATATGTGCACAACAATGAGACAAAGGAGGGAATAAACTGACAACATCCCATTCTAATTCAGATTGGGTGGGGCTGTTTGAGGTGCTTTGGGACAGGTTGCGCTCAATGAGCCCTGACAGCAAGACTGTTTTGTGTGTGTGTGTGTGTGTGTGTGTGTGTGTGTGTGTGTGTGTGTGTGTGTGTGTGTTTGTCTGCATTACAAGTGTGTATATCCATGTGGGACCTCTGCTTGCATCAGCCTTGTGATGGAAGCCTCAGCGGTGCTCCAGGGTGGGGGGAAGCGGCTTCATACTCGCTCGCCTTCATTTTCTCTGCTCTCCCTCTCCGATTACGGGCGTTCGATCAGGCTAAAGTAATGTTTGTGCGCTTTGCCGCCAGTGTAGCAATAACTGCTGTCAGAAACCTTGCATGCTTGGGTGGAGAGGAGATACTGGCCCTTTATTTAAAACAAGCCAAGGATAAAAGATCAATGGCCCAATTCAGGCCATGAATTGGAGGGAAAAGTTCACAAATATAGCGGGAGATCATGAGACCGAGATATGTGTGGATAGGGGGGAGCCGAGAGCGAGGGGGCATCTAGCTCATCTGGGTGCTAGTGGCTTATTGATCGGTGGAGACACACAGCTCCGAGCCATTCATCACAGGCCACTCAGGCCCTTAGATAACTCCTATGATAGTGCCCTGCTGCTGAGCAGCTGCAACTGGCCACATCCATTATCCTTCAAAGTAAGCCCCCTAGCCTGGGAACAGGCATGGTGGGGCTGCTGGGTGACAGGCTGGAGGGGAGGGCTGGAATGGAAATGGAAAAGACCAGCCTGTGGTTAGGAGCCTGTGGCTGAGGCTAGTGTATACAAAGGCAAGAGCTGGGGTTGAAGGGCCAGGGTTTTATGAAAAATTGTGCTCTGACAGCCAGAACAGAGATGAGAAACTGTCTGTTTGCACTAGTTGGATGAAAAAAAAAAATGCGACGGCACCATTGTTTCCATTTCTCGGCCAAACAGTATTAGCAAAGCTGTTTTATAGCAGATAGCACACAAACCATTCTAGCGACAGGCAGCTCTGAAAAGTGCTGAGTGGCTTTGTATTGTGTGTGTGTGTGTGTGTGTGTGTGTGTGTGTGTGTGTGTGTGTGTGTGTGTGTGTGTGTGTGTGTGTGTGTGTGTGTGTAAAGAGAAGTCCCAGACTGGGCAGGTGGGGATCAGCCATAATGAGCCATACAGGGAGAGAAAAGAGGGAGGGGGGTCGAAGAGAGGGCAAAAAAAAAAGAAGGGAGGAGGCCAAAGAGCGACAGAGAAAGACAGAGTGAGAGTGATGGAGACGGGCTCAGAGCCAGAGACAAGGCCCCAAAAGAGCAATTACAGGAGCTCCAGAGAAGGTGTGGGCCCAGCCCCCAGGCATAGTTTCACACAGCACAAAGCCCTGCCAGACATGTATTCACAAGCACATACACATATACATACACACACAAGCCTTAATGGAACAAAAACTTCTAATGAGGAGAAGAAATAAGAGACGACCACGAGTGAATGTCAAAACGGGAAGGAAGCAAGTATGAGGTAGTTGTTTTTAAACTGGGGTCATCTCAACCTCAAACCTCAAATCACCATGCTATACTCCCCCACGTTTTCACTGCAACATTCTGTTCTGGTCGAAACCTGTTCGCTTAACAGCATGGCCCGAAACAAAAGCTAATACTCCAGGGCTGAGGTCAGTGTGAACAAAACTTTCAAGTCGATTGTGCTCCGTGTGGTGAGTGCTAAACAACACTGAAAAGTCTGGACAGCCTCACTACATGGTGCCTGTCATGAATACGAGTCCGAAATGGTTTCTGAAGGCAACCCCCCCCACCGCCACCCCCACCCCCCTCCACCCCCCAACCTCACCATCACCACCACCTCCACCTCCATCTCCACCTCCACCATTTAAAGGAGAACGACAGGCTGGAAAGAGCAAGCAAGAATGATGGGAGAAAAAGAAAGATGTGCAAACAGATAAGGGGGAGGGGAAATTAAATTAAGAGAAAAGTTCTCGTGCACCGGTATGCACCATTGATTTCCTATTCTCTTGGAAACATTTAATGAGCTTAAATAGGAGCCTCGTTTGACACTGCCATAGTGACTCTGAGGAGCCTCCCAGTGAGAGGAAATCGTTCAGCGGCTGTGACGGCTACCAGAGGGGGTTAGGAGAAGAGAAGGTAGAGGGGGAGCAGGAGGAGGAGGAGGATGGATGGGGAAGTGAAGGTTTTAATGCCAAAGCAAAAGACGTGTGCAACACAGATGTTGGATTATGCCGGGGAAATGGTCCATGGATAGCATTACTTGCCTCGTTCTCAGTGAGGAGAAATGGAGAAAAAAAATGAAGGATGAAGGAGATTACGGGAAAAGAAGCAGACTGTGGAGGAAGCTAGAGGTGCCGTACATTCAACCAGGCTGCCTAGTTATGTAGGTGCTTACCACTCCCAACAGGCACTCATTATAACCCAACAATGTCCAAGCTGATTGACAGCTACTGCTCTTCTGCAGCGTTTCACCTCATTACTTCTTGGATGACCTCTCTATGAGGCGTTCAACAGATGCCTATTGCTCGGCGGCCATCTTGTTTTTCTACCCTCCCTGCTCTCTTTTCTCCCTCCATCGGCAGGAAAACTATTGTCACTTCAGAGAGCAAAGTCCAGAGGCGCTTCACTGCTCTCTGCCGCTGATGAGGGCCCCACTGGGAACCATCGGCATCCGCTTTATGAAGCCGTCTGGCAGACTGAATGGACTCAGCGTCCTGCCACCTTTTGCAGGCAATCGTGATAATAAGAGTGTGGAGTCAGGCATGGCTGTACACTGGCACCACAGGGGGGCTTCCCCTCACCGACTGCTGCGTGCGGTGGTGTGTGTGGTGGTGTATATGTGAGAGTGTTCCGGACTGGAAAACTGATTTAATTGAATTTACTCATAGTGCAGTTTTTAACAACAACAACAACAATCCAAACTAAATAAACTGAGAATAGCTAAACAACTAATGACGAGACAGAACTTAGACCAACAAAGAGCCTTACAGTACTGCACATAAGTCCAGTCATACTGTAAATAAACCAACATATCAGAATTTCCTTATTTCTTTATGACCTATTAGATTTGCAGCATTTCTGTCTCTTATCCCCCGTAACATGCATCTGTTTTGGATTTTTAACTTCTCAGACAAACTCTAGCTGAGGATATCCCTTTAGTCTTGGGGCACTTGCAGTAGATTTTAGGAGATATAGTCCAGTGTTAGAATTTATGTCTGCATTAACGCAAAGAGACACTGTACTGGTGTATTAGTGCTGGGTACAAAACGACCAGCAGGTAATGAGTCTTGAGTGTCTAGATGCGTTCGTGTATGTAAACATGGTAAAGCATACAGGATGTGCACGTGTAAGGGGTTAAGCGTAGATATTTCAGGTCCCTGTGTATGCTTTTAACTCAGTCAAACATGTTTTCTGGTTTAGAGCTGCTTTGACATTCCACCACTGTCTGTTTCTTATATAAGCAGGTCAGACAGGAGTTCTTCAGTTCTTGACCCCAGTCCCCCCCCCCCAACTTTGGCTCAGCTGCTGGGAGAGCGGCTGGCTTGTACCACCTTTGAATATCTATCCAGACAGATGCATAGTAAGCAGTGCTGCAGCCAGTGTGGATGTTTGGCACAACTGGAAGCAGTGCTGAGGCCGTGTTTCGTTGGGCTTTCATGTGTGACTTGCAGCAAAAGTTGTGCTGAAGGAGTTTTTTTTTTTTTTTTTTATGAAAATGAATCTTGGGCTAACACAATCACGTGATCCTCTGGTGATTAATTACGGTGAAAGAAAAACAGCCCACATGAGAGTGCCCTTTTCCTTCTGTACGGTTCTAGCAGAAACACATGGGCGTGCACTCCCACACACACACACACATACCAAGTATAGGAACTGGAAGTGACTAACAGCAGCTTGAGGACAACAACTTGGGAGAGGCACAGTGTTGAAGTGTCCTATACTGCTTTCTCCAGTGTCCCCACCTGTCATTTCAAACACTCTTCCTCAATATAGTGCCAGCAAGAAACAATTTTTCACCGGAAACTGTCTTAGCACTCGTAGAAATCTATAGGCCATCATCTATACGACACTATGGAACATTCTCTAAATCATTTACACTGGCCTATATATAGCCTGTGGAGAAAAGGTCATTATTGAAACAGAAAGCTATATTTCATAATTGCACTACCGCGCTTCCATCCCCACACTGAAATTGGCTCTCCAGAATATATTCTCTCTTACTCTTTTCCATCT